CTACCTTCCAAAGATGCATGAACGATCCCTTTCAAGAAATTCAATGGCTAGATAAGTTCGCAGTCGTTTATCGAGGCAATATAATTCAGTATTTTGATTTTTAGTAAAATTTGAGAGGCGCACCAACAGCATTTGCGTCTGATCTTAGGAAAGTTGCGCACTGCAAAGTTCAAGGTGAATGGGCGAAGCGTCAAGTGCTATATTTAGGCCACGTGTTAGATGGAGATGGAGTCAGACCGGAAGATGCGAAGATCGCGGCGATCAGGGATTGGGCAACTTGAACACCACACACATTGACTGAATTGTGGTCGTTGTTAGGATTAGCCAATTACTATCGAAAGTTCGTATGAAACTTCACCACTCCGTAAACTGACGATGACGGAGACGGTTTGAAATTGAGTGCCTTAGCCTTTAAGAAATTGAAAAAATCATTAATTGAGTACCCGGTTTTAATCGTTGCACACTCATCACTTCCATTCATTGTCACGACTGACGCGAGACAATACGGAATTGGCGCCATAATCCAACAGAGATGGAAAGGGGTACCGGCCCGTCAAGTTCATGTCTTGTAGGTTGCCTCGTGAGAAGGTCGCTGCGTCGACATATGAGCGTGAGTTGTTTGCTTTAAGGGAGGCATTGAACCATTGGCAACACTTTCTCCTAGGAAGGCACTTTACATTGACTAGGTGGGCTGGGGAGATAGACCAGTTTGACTTCGAGCTGAAACCAGTCAAGGGCAAGTACAACTCCGTCGCAGATGCCTTGACTAGACGCACAAACTTTTTCAGTGTCATCGTGCACACACCCCTAACAAACTGCACAGAGGTTTGACGTACAATTGACTGCTTGACTCCAGATCAAATTCATAGACTGGTTGCCTGTTACAAGGGAGTTTGCCATTCAATACGAGAAGGATCTAGAGAACATCAAAAGGAACATCCTTAAAGCCCAGCACCAGATGGTAAAACAAGCTAGCTAACAAACATTGACCACCATCGCAGTTTGCAGTAGGTGACTTGGTATGGGTTGGGTCGAACGAGGTAGTTCCTGAAGAAGTGATCTCGCAGAAACTGTTTCCTGCATATAGGGGACCATGGCAAGTCTTAGATGTCAAAGGAGAGGCAGATGGTCCATCCTACACGATCGAGATTCGGCCCCACCTGCACATGTACCCGGTATTCCACGCATCTAAGTTGCTTCCCTGTATTACGAAAGACCAGTTTGTTCCATGATTCCACCAGATATGGACGGAGGTTCTGATGTAGACCAAATAGTGGCTGAAGATACTTTCCGCACAGGTTGCAGAGGAAGGCCGCAGCGGCAATATGAGGTCAAGTTTGCATACCAAAAGCCCAGCAAAGACCGCTGGTTCCCCAGGGAAGAACTAATACATATGGCCCCTCACATTGTCTCCTTCTATAAGAGGGCCCGGAGAGGAATGAATGTGTATGATAGATAAGGTTGAGATTTTCTCGGAGGACCTCACAATTAGGCTGGCGGGAGTGAAAACATTCACGCTGCAGACACCCAGTCCCTGTCCCAAGGTCCCAACAAGTCCCAAGGCCGTCCCGTAGGGTAGGCCGTAGGGTCTAGAGGCTGAAGCATCGTAGGTCGGCAGGTGTCGGTACCGAAGTGTCATAGGTTGGTAGGAGTCCGTCCGGTACCCGACAAGAAAAGTCCAGAAGCGTCCAGTCCAGTCCGACAGTTCCAAGTCCAATTTTGCAGCATGTCCGGGAAAAGTCCGGAAGCTATCGGACCGACAAAATGTTTGCAGCAGACAGGGCGAGGCCGACCAGTACCAGTCTGAAGCAGGCCAAGCCAAGCCAAGGCCAGCGAAGCCAAGCCCTACAGCAGCTCATCACTTGTTCAGTTGCGAGACGAGGAAGTGCACTGCTGCTTGTACGTCAAGGCAACTTGGGCACTGTGTGCCCGAAGGAGAAGAGGGCCCTTGAGAGATGCTCCATAGGACCATAGCTAAGCTAGGGGCAGGACAGGAGGACGGCGGCCATAGCCGCCAAGGTAAAAGCTACCTGAGTGGCTGCATCCAGGGTAACGGTGTAGGGTAGAGAGAAGAGAGAGAGCGAAGCAGAGCAAGTCAAGTCAGAGAGAGAGAGAGAGAGAGAGGAGAGGGGAGAAGCCATAGCTGCTATCTGGTTGAGATGCATTGGGTGTGTGTGCGCAGCAGAGCCGCTGGAGACTAACATTCTTGATAATATTATTGGAGACATCTTCAAGTGTTGCTTGTATCTCGATTAGGATTCTCACGTGTGAACTCTCATATGCATGTTCATTGCTGTATGCGAGGTTGAACTTGACGAGCACCTGGCTCATTTCATTGTGGCGCTGCCGCAAAAAATGACCGTGTGTGTGTGTGTGTGTGTGCAAAAAATGACCGTGTGTGTGTGTGTGTGTGTGTGTGTGTGAGAGAGGGAGAGAGAGAGAAATGAAGTGGCCGTCATGCACGTGCCACTTGTGTGTGTGTGTGTGTCTGCGTGTGTATGTGTGTGTGTGTGTGTGTGCGTGTGTGTGTGAGAGAGAGAGAGAGAGATGAAGTGGCCGTGTGCATGTGTGTGTGTGTGTGTGTGAGAGAGAGAGAGAAATGAAGTGGCCGTGTGCATGTGTGCGTATGTGTGTGCATGTGTGTGTGTGTGTGTGTG